AGCAAGGGCACAGAACTACAATTCAGCAGATTTGGATTCTATTTCCATCTCTGGCACTGATTAGCTGACTGTGTTCCCCCAGCTAACTGCCCCCCCCCAGCTCCTCCTTTTACTCATCTACAAAAGATGAATAGGGAGCAGAGATAAAGGGTATAGGGTGGGGATGGATCAAATAAAATGTATACTCAAAGTCCAAGAGCTTTAAATTATATGATACATAGATAAATAAAATTATACAAAATAATTTGTTTCATTACTCTCTTAAAGACAAAATTGATGGTGCATAGATTTTTTTTTTTCCTCTTTGAATCACTGAAAATGATCAATATAAAGAAGGAATTAGGTATTGGGTAATGTAAATTTCCACCTGTTGAAATTACTGTTGACCATTACAAATATTATACGTACTTTCCAGAGGCTCAAAATGCTGAAAAACATGTATGTTGTCCAGCTGTGGGGATAAAACACAGGAATTAGAAGAGAGAAATGACAAAATTAAATCAAACTAGCATTAGAAAAGAACTTGATGACATTGATACCAAAATATATCAATGGATACCAAAGTATCTTTTTAAAGCTGAAGAGAATCAAAAAATGTTATCAGCTCCAATTGTCTTAACTTCTTTTTTTAAAAGTAAGAAAAGCACTTTCCTCTAGTTCCACTTTAAAAAACCATTGCCTGATATGTCAGAATAGCATCTACTGGCTACAGTAATAACATCTCAACCTTCCTAATGCCACAACTCTTTAATACAGTTCCTCATGTTGCAGTGACCCCCAACCATGAAATTATTTTCATTGCTACTTCATAACTGTAATTTTGCTACTGTTATGAATCATTATGTAAATATCTGATATGCAGGATGTATTTAGGGGACCACTGTGAAAGGGTCATTCTACCCCCAAAAGGGTCGTGATCCACATGTTCAGAACCTCGGATCTAGCACAAGCTGTGCCTACACAGATTGTTCCCAGATCAGTCCCTACCCACCCGTCTATCTGACATACCATCATTGGAGGTGCTTAGAAAGTTCACAACATTTTAACTTTTTCCTACTAACTTGGTTGAGTTCTTTGTATTCTGGTTATTAGTCCTTTATGGGACATACAGCATGCAAATATATCCTCCCTTCTGTAGGTTGCCTTTTTGGTCTTTTGACGGTTTCCTTGGCTGTGCAGAAGCTTTTTAAAACTTTATCAAGTCTCATCATTTATTTTTGTTGTTGCTGTGATTCCATTTGAGCCTTCTTCATAAATTCTGTACCTAGCCTGCTACCTAGAAGAGATTTTCCAAAATTTCTTCTAGAATTCCAAAGATGTAATGTCTCAGGTTTAAGTCTGTTATCCATCCTGAATTAATTTGAATGAGAAATATATATCCTGTTTCAATCATCTGCATGTGGCTAATTCCAGAACCATCTATTGAATAGCAATTCTATTCCCCAGTGTCTATCACTGTCTGCTTTGTCAAAGCTCAGAACTTTGGATTTTTCAAAAATTTTTCCTTTGCATTCACAGCTTGGTTAACTGCTTGGCACAAGAGGCGTAGCTTTCTGCCCCCCTTGCTTTCAACATGCCTCCCTCACTAAACCTAATCCTTTCCAGCTTTTTAATTTAGAATGAGAGATGTACAACTCTGCCTTCCACTTGAACATTTTAAAGCCATGATAGGATTATTAATTGGCTTAATTTCAATATTGTTATGTCTCAGGAAAGAGGAAGCTCCAAAAAAGGGAGAAATGGAGGGATGCCCAGTTGATACCGCAGTCAGAACACACAACTTTTATCCATTATGTTTGCAGTTTCTATGCACATGGTTTGTGGTGCCCCCAAACAATTGTAATGGTAACATCAAAGATCACTGAGCACAGATCACTGTAACAGATACAGTAACAATGACAAAGTCTGAAATATTGCAGGAATCACCAAAGTGTGACATAGAGACGGGAAGAGAGCACGTGCTGTTGGAAAATGGTGCCGATAGACTTGCTGGACTCAGGGTTCCCACAAACCTTTCATTTGTAAAGAGAACACAATTTATCTGTGAAGGACAATAAAGCAAACACAGCAAAACAAGGTATGTTTGCCTGTGCTTGGGGAATGTGTCCACTGCCGAGCAAATGTGAAGATTTGATGCTCGTTAATTTAGAACAAGTGCCCAGTAAGATACCCTGTCTGTTAAGGGGCAGTTCTGTGACACTTTGGTAGAGTCCCTGGCAAGGTCAGTGCTCTGGAAACAACATAACCTGCTACCAGTGAGGATGAGGAGTCTTGGTAGCCTTGGTAAGACTCACATCCTCTGTATATGATATCTCAGAAAGACTAGGCAGAGGGAAATGATGGGCTCTAGCTAGTCTTGATTCCTGCCATTCACAAAAAAGAAGTGAGCTTTGCTAGTAACATCTATGTAGCCACTGCCCACAGGGTCGACCCTGTATACAAAAATATCGGGCACATTGCAAGCATCACCTAATTAAAAATCCTCATAACATGCTGGTAAGTTGGGTTGCTAGTACTATTTTATAGAGGATGAAATTCAAGCTCCAAGGTTAAGAAAGTTTACTAAAGTTTTAATGCTATCAAGGAGTAGATATTGAATTAAAAATCAGGTTTGTCTGATGAGAATCTCTTTGAGCTGCTTTTCTCACTTATTTTTTAAAATTCAAAACAGACTGGGCATGGTGGCCCATGCCTATGATCCTAGCACTCTGGGAGACCCAGGAGGGTGGACTGCCTGAACTCATGGGTTTGAGACCAGCTTTAGCAACAATGAGACCCCATCTATAAAGATAGCCGAGCCCTGTGGCGGGAGCCTGTAATCCCACTCTGGAGACTGAGGCAAGAGAATTGCTTGAACCCAAGAGTTCGAGCTGGCTGTGAGTCTCTGTCTCAAAAAATAAAAATAAAATAAAAAAATAAAATAATAAAATTCAAAACATTCCTGAAAGGGAAAATAGAACTCATAAAATACATTAATTTAACCTCTGTCACCATACTACAAGTAAATGAGAAATTGTTTTTTAATATTCAAGTAAACAAAAATTATACAATTTTCAAACAGAAATGACTGAAGAAGATATTAGATTTCTAAGAACAAATTCTATATATTTTTATCAAGTAACAAAAATGAGACTTTCTAAATTTGACTAACTATAGACATTTTATAACCTTCTGAAATAACATAGGGGCTCACTCTATTTTCCGAATGCCTGGCTTTGTACTTTGTCAATATTTTGCCCAAATAATAATTAAATAAAAATCAGGCTCTTGTAAAATCCCAATTTTCTGATTCAATGGCACTGACTTGCATACGTCCTGACTAGGACATTCTATAGAGAGCTTTCAACATACAGGATTAACAGGCTCCCTACAAATGCACAGGATTTAAAAGAGAAGCAGGTTAACTCCAAGAACTCCTTGGCTGTGCAGCTGGATTGTGTTTTCAATTGGATTGGGAAGTTCCTTAGTTAATATCCAATTCAACACTTCCTTTTTCAAAAGGAAAACTAAATTCAGAAGTTAATAAGATCTCTCCCCAACACAGGGGACACTTCCCAAGATCCCTGGTACATGTCTGATGCTGTGGACTGTACCAAATCCCATATATACTATACAGAAATTTCTTTTTCTTTTATCACAATTTCATGGATATCAGACTTGTTTTTAACATATATCTTAGCAACCTCTGAGTGGAATATTTTTCTATCCTTAAGCCATGAAATGTTCCCTTTTCATTGAAAGAATTTAATTTGCAGCATTATTACTCTTGTACTTTGGGTCTGTTATTAAGGGTTATGTTAACACAAGCATTATGACACCATGTCAGCCAATGTGATAACCAAGAAGGCTACTAAGTGATTAAGGGGCAGGTAGTATTTACAGTGTGGATACACTGGACAAAGGGATGATTCAGGTCTTGAGCAAGACAGGCCTGGCTTCTGCAATATTTCATCATAATACTCAGAATCATGCACAATTTAAAACTTCTGAATTGTTTACTTCTGGAATTTTCCATGTAGTATTTTCATACTGCTGTTGACCACAGGTAACTGAAACTGTGGAAACAGAAACTACAGATAAGGAGGCACTGCTGTAATAGCTCCACTTTCATAGAGATTTTTTCAAGTTTCTCAGGGGTGTATAAAAAATAGCATTTGCACATCAACTTTTTATGTCACCCTGGTTCTGGTTTGGATGTCCCAGTGGCTCCAGAATATCCGCATACATAGAAATTAGGTAGTCACTGTGTTATGTGAAGGGAGTCTCTGGAATATGGCCTGAAGTAATAGCCTTGCTAGCTCCCTTATTTTTATTTATATTGCATGTTTT